TTTTTTTTTTTTTTTTTTTTTTTTTTTTTTTTTGTTTTTGGTGGATACGAGGTTGGTCTAAGTGACCGATCCCAGTTTTGAGATAGGGTACAGAAAGTAACAGATAAACTATAAAGTTTTACTGAAAAAAAAAAACGTTTGAAATTCATTTAGGAGGTTTTAGGGGTTACACAAAGGAAATTTGAGATTTTTGAGATGAGATAAAGTATTTTTAATTTTAACATGAAAATTACTTTACACACAGGCTATTCAAAACAAATACTCAATATATTCATGGACAAATCTTTATTTTATTTTATTAAAAATACTTCACTAAAAACTATGATTTGTTGTATGTGTAATATGAACTGAGACTATCCAATTTTGTAAAGATATGCACACTATATTGAAAATTATAAGTATTAAATCTATAAAGACTTTAATCGAGTACAAAGAGGTCATGTGGTGGGTCACACTGACAGAGCCCATGTTGAGAGGGTTAATTAAATTTTGAATGTAACTGAGTGACATGCACAGAAAGAAGTTTAAAGGGATACCTGTTGGAAAAGAGTTAACCTACTATTTTATACTTTTTACATTTTAGTTACTTTTGTAATAATAAATAAATAATATATATGAAAAACAAGAAATATGGTACATATCTTTGACATTGTTTTTCTTGCTGTTGATTGATGATGAAATTTAAGCCTACTTCTTTTTTTATAATAATGATACTAGTACACTAAATTTTTATTTACTTAACCCACTAACTACAGGCAGTTTAAAGTGCATGTCACAAATTTGTAAGGGTTCTTTCAAAATTTAATTAAACTACTTTATTATCACTGTATTCGAATAGACTTGGCATTAAAACATAGTTAATAAATCAAATTTTAATATTATATCAGTTTTAATATTATGGTTACATGTAGGCCTTTTGGACTAAGCTTGTATGGAGAATGATAGAAGTTCAACAATACATACAATAATTCTGAAATTTCTCAAAGTATCTTCTATGCAAAGAATGAGATTATTTTAATTAAGTATTTTATCTAAGGATTTATTTTTCTGTTGTAGTTATTTGCACTTAAGACTGAATAGTTTGACTATTATAATCAACGTATAATTAAATGTTTAATATTAAGAAATAGTAAAAATGTATACATCTTAGAATTGTTCACTGAATAATCTTGAAAGATCTTTTTTTTTGCATATACTATTAATTGCAAGTCTTTACCTTTTCAAGTAGTTTATTTTTAAAGTTTTATTTTCCTTTCCTATCCGAGATTTAAGCTATTAAGGATAAGCAAATGTAGATTCCTGTTACAATATGAAGTCATTCTAGAATGAATAAAAGCTTATTTAGATTTCTTTATGGTGGTTATGAGGTCAGTCAAATTAACCAACACTGTACAGAGTTAAGGTAGAGAAAATAATAGATAAAATATAAAGTTTTACAGAAAATAAACATTTGAAATGTATTTAGGAGGTTTTAGAGATTACACAAATGAAATTTGAGATTTTTCAGATGAAGAAAAGTATTTTTAATCTTACCATGGAAATCACTTTGCACTCAGAGTAATCAATACTTTGACTCCATATATTTACAAAAAACTTGCAAAAGTTTGTAAAAAATACACAAAATATATTAAAAGTTATAGTATGTAAACCCTAAGGTCAATTTGGGGTCACAAACTTAGCAAAAATGACCAAACTCGTAGTGAGAGAGTTAAATAATGGCTTTCTATCTATTGCATAAGAGCCTTTAAAATAATTCCCAAAGCTTCTGGATCTGAACACCATGAGAGAAGCTTTCAAACTGAAAACAAAATAGACAATAATCTGTACTGCAAATAATAATTATAATACATCATTTGATAGATTAAACTTTGTCTTTCTATTTGTTATCAATTTGTGAAAGAGAAAATGTAACAGGTAGGTGTGGCAAATGGATAGAATATTTTTAAGACTACTTGTTTAATATTGGCTGTCATAATCCAAAATAAAGGTTTTTCTAGACACTAAAAAAAAACAAGTAGTGAAGAACAGTTTATAAGCAAGACATCATATTTAAAGAGAAATCAAGTATTTCTTCTCATCTTTCCAAATTCATAACCAATTCATAACTTTAGAAAGTATAATCATCTTATTTATTGTAAATTCAAAGCAGTTTTACCTGATAAAATTGATGTTTTTTGGTCATCTGTAACTGATGATTTTCGAGGAAGTCTTCTGAAACGACCAGCTGAAAAGACAGGAGTAAAATGAAATTTTTTATTTTAAACATTTACTAAATTACTTTAACAAACAAATACAAAAGCTTAATCTTTTGTATGCTATACAAACATGCTTATTATGATTTTCTTCTGAACAGAAAACTCCACCAGACTTATCAAACAGATTTAATTTTTTGAAAGAAATATAAAACTAACCCACCTTTTTTTTTTAAAAGATGACTATCACTAACACTACGTCCCATACGCGTAGGTGAGGCACTTCGACATTTAATTGACAGGTCAATATCATGTTGTTCCCTAGATGATGTATAATCTCGACTAAATTCTACATACGAATGAAATAATGAAAAACTATGATCAATACAAAACCAAACAAATATACATTTTTAAAACATTCATACAGCTTCTGCAAAAAGAGTGAGAAAACTATTTAAATGTATACATGTATATATTTACACTGATACCTAAACTTTCATATGAACAGCATATTTCAGTTCTACTTATAAGAAAACCAAACCAAACCGTAAGAGCAATGTAAAAGTGAAAAAGCCAGTAAACAGTAATTCAAACAAACTACAGTCTAATACAAATACCACATATCTATGTTTGTGACAACTACCATCAAGATAGCAAGGAATAAAGAATAATGGATAAACACAGTCGTCAACCCTTAGAATTGGAGAGGACACTATGGTTAATTGGTGTGTGTGTGTGTAAAATCATTTACGCAACCATTTGAAACTTGGGTTTTCTCATTTAAAGCTTGAAGGTAAAAGTGGCACAATCTTAATCCCAAAAAGTTACTATTACAGATGAATAATTATCATTTTGAATGCACTGAGCTGATTCAGTTCAAGAAAAAAATAATAATCTTCTATATAAAGTTATGTTTTTAATCTAATGTCTTTTGGATTTTTGCATATTCCATTTACAGGACAACAACCCATAAAGGTGGTCAATTTGTTGAGAGAAAAATGACTACTTGTCGGTTTTTGCTAAAATTTCAGTGTGCAGTTTACTAATAATCAGTCAAAACAATTCTCTTACCTATATACATTCAGAAAATAACAGTACTAGAAGAATCAGACATTTACTTCACAAATCAGTAATTACCCTATCTTTCATTTGTTCACATATACGAGCCATTATACTAGATTCACTTCAAAAACTATCTTCCAAAAATGATTAAGTAATTTTGAATAAAATTATATAAACTAAGAATATTCAAACTAGTTACATGTTTCAAATTTAATAATTAACACTACTTGGTTTAAGAAACAAAAGAAAGCTCACTCTGGTGCTTTACTTTAGAATTATTAATGTAAAAATATTAAGTATCTTCAAAACCATTACTAATACCTTCATGTTGTTCCGAAGCATCTGATGTTAATTTTTTTTCTGACTGAGCTACTGAAGATTTTACAACTTCAGTGCTAGTTTTATTTTCAATTGCAGCTGTGTGGGGAGTTTTAGTACCTTTTCTCTTCTTCTGCTTCTGCTCAGTTAACCTTTGTAGAGGTAAATCATTTAAGTCTAAACCATACACAATTCGAGCCATTACTCTTGTGACTGTTTCCATTGTTTTCTGTAAAATATTTAGGCACAAAAAGATTCATAAAGAACTAAAAAAGAAGGTACACAAGGAGAAAAATTTTATTAATTATCTTTGACATTAACTTCCCATTTCTCTTCAACAATAATCACTTTATACAGCTTATGTATGAGTGTATATATACATTTATGTATTTCATTAACTTTCAAAAAATAAGACTGACTGGTAACACATAGTTTTACCCAGAATAATTCAGAGACCATTTACAAACATTGCCTTGCATTACAAATTCATGCAAGGTTTAAACATTCTTAATTCAACAGTACTTCTCAAATATAACTATGATTTCATATTTTTTAATGAGCAATGATAAAGTCCAAAAATGATCATTGCATTTAATCTAAAATAGGAACCCTTTAACCCTCTCTGCCCAGACATCATTTACTGCGCGTGTCATGAAGTTTTAGTGACTTGCATTCAAAATTCAATTAAACTACTTTTTGTTGATGTTATACCAATTAATATAGCATAAAATTATACCTAATAATCGATATTCTAATAGTATACAAGTTTCAAGTTCTTAGGATAAATGAAAAAAGGCTAATTTAGATTTATTTTGTATTTCTTTATGGTGGTTATGAGGTCAGTCAAATTAACCAACACTGTACAGAGTTAAGGTAGAGAAAATAAAGGATAAAATACAAAGTTTGATTGAAAACAAACATTTGAAATGAATTTAGGAGGTTTTAGAGATTACACAAATGAAATTTGAAATGTTTGAGATGAAGAAAAGTATTTTTAATCTTAATATAAAAATCATTTTGCACACAAACTAGTAAAAAACTCAATATTTTTATGGACAAATCTTTTTCTAGCTTGTTAAAAATACTTCATTGAAAAATATGATTTTTTGTATGTGAAAGACAATGTTTACTGAAAGACTTATGTACAAAGAGGTCCCGCAGTCGGTCAAATCAACCGAGCCTGAGTTGAGATAGTTAAATCAATATGATTAATATTTGTTTTCATAAAAAATTTATTAATGACATTTCTTTAAATCCTTTATAAAATTTATGATTTTCTTCCTTTTTTTAAGTCAAAAATTACAAACATTTCTTTGTAAAACATCTAAAGATCAGTTTGTGTCACTTTATATTTTACTTATGATGACTAACTATCATTACAAGTCAGCATGTCACAAGTTTTTATAGTTATTTTCTTTGTATGTGAATAAACTTGGTATAACAATGTAGCCAATAATCCAAATTTTAATAATATACAAGTTTTATGTTCTTAATTTTTATAAGGCTATATTTAAAAAATTCCTGAATTTCCCCAAGTATGAGAATTGTGACATTTTCTCTCTAGGCATCCCCTCTTCTCTAACTTATTTACTGCCCCTCCAAGAAGTACAAAATTTAACGTAAATTACCCCTTGTAATATCGTCATCACTCAGGCAAAACACAATTTTCAGAGCCTTCAATCTTATTTAGTTACAGAGCAATAAAATATGAAATCAAACCTCTCTTGCCACACCCACCTCTCACATCCTCTCTTTCAAAAATTGCCAATAGTCTCTCCGACTTTTAATATTATATTACTTATAACCAATATAAAGACATGTTTTAATCTATGAATTGACATATTATATTACATTTTTTTGTAAACAGAGAATTGTAAATTTCCCTTTCAAGGTTTATTCTCATAGGAATCACATCGATGAGCATAGATAAATTTTAAACAGCTCTTGTTGCATAATTAGAAAGTCAGAAAAATTGTGACAGTTAGGGGACATTGTCTGCTTTTTGCATGTTACTATTTTGTGTTCTTTTGTGCAATATCTAATTAAATAAAAAAATATTTAGGACAGTAGTACCATTAATATAAAAAGTAGGGTTAAGTGTCATCAACAGTCAAGAGCAAAAAAAAACAAAAACACCCAAGTACATCCTATATTTCTTGTTTTTTCATTCTTGTTTAGAAATCCATAAGATAGAAAATCAGACCCATTTTCCATACCCACCTATCACATCCCACCTTTCACAAATTGACAATAGTTCTCTCCAACATTTTATACTATACAATTTATTACCAATAGAAAGCCAAAGTTTTAATCAATCAAATGATGTATTATATTATTTTCTGTATAGAGAATTGTCCACTCAATTTAAAAGTTTTTCTCACAGTATTCAGACCAACAAGCTTAGCTGAATTTTTGAAAACTCTTATCCATAGTTAGAAGGCTTTATAAGAAAACTATGACATTGCTTGTTTGTGCTTTCTGTGTTCTTAAGTGCTTTACTTAATTTTAAATACAAATTATTTAGTGTAGTAGTACCATTAGTATAAAAAAATGCAGGCTTACACATTCAACAACAAAAAAACAAAACATGAGGATCCAGGTTAGTACTATATTTCTTGTTTTTCATGTGTATTCTTTATTTATTATCATAAAAGTAACTGAAATGTAAACATTAGAAATTTTTTAACCCTTTCAAGACAGGTCACAGGTGAAAGGTCATGTTATCTCGTTTGTTGACTTGCATTCAAAATTTTATTGAACTACTACTTCATGGATTTATATCAATAAGTTTGGTATCAAGCTGTAGATTATAATTCAAATTTTAGAAATATACATTACTCAATTTCTTAATTTAAAAGTAATTTTAAAAAACACGGATAAACATCGATTTTTGTATCATGTGGTATGATGAATGCAGCACTGGTTCAAATTAGATGTTTGTGAAGTTGGTGTTTTCTATTTGCTAAGATATTGCTCATGTAATAAATCAAACACAGTAGCACCCCAACCACCTCTTTCCATTTTTGGAAATGCTCCCTTATATACACGTACTTCTATATATGACATGAATAATCACTCAGAAGCTCAATGTCCCCTAGTGGCTTTCTCAGCCATTTTAATGGGCTTAGTGCCACTTCTTTTG